CCCCAAAACCCCAAAACCCCAAAACCCCAAAACCCCTGGAAAGACTCCCAGTGTTGATTTTTGAGGCTTTTAGTAAAATATGGAGCTCTGCGCCATTTGTGACAAGTCTTTGGACATGAAGATTCCTGAATGTTTAGAACGTCTTGATAGACTAGAAGCGCTTAAGAACATATTTGGCAAAACTCCAGCTATTCTTGAAGGATTTTATGACAGTTATAATTAGTTGGAGTGATTCTCTAGATTATATTCGTCATTCTCATTAATCGAGTCTGCAGTGTTACTAAAGTGGGTGGTTTCAATCATTGATTGGTGCAGGCTTGGCAGCCTGCACTTCTTTTTAAAGGCTTTTCTGTATCTTGGATTAGGCAAAGACTATAGCTGATAAGTTTAAAGTTATCTACCATATTGATTTCTTTAAAGACCTCTTTTGAGCTTCTGTTCCTTGAATGATATGGAGACTTGTGTAGAGAAATTCTAAGTTTCTTGCTCTATGGAAATATTTATGTAAGCATACTTCGTCAATAGAGGTTTGTGGGCTAAAGACGCTTCGTTTTTTCTTCTCTCTTTTCTCCATAACTTTCTCTGAAGATAATTATTATTAACAATATACCAGTATGAAGGATGGGCTCGATACTTCTTCTCTTTCTTTGAATGAGCTTATTTCCTTAAATTATACAGGTCGATCTTTGTGTTGCTATACTCCTCGATAAGCTTGAGGGTCTCTCCAGTTGACCCATCTCTGTGTTCTATTGAAAAATTGAGCTTAGCTTGTCCACCACTTACTTATTGATTTCATTTGTTTCCCAACAACATATCCTCTCTTCCTCAGCCGATGGAGTATGTACCTATAAATTATGCTTCAAAAATACATTCTCCGTTCATTTTCTAGGTTTTTGCGAACCACTGATTTTTCAGCAGTTTTTGGAGAATTCGCTGTAAAACATTAGAAGAACGGTATTAAACTCACTTAGTGTCTTCTGACTCATATGTGCAGATGTGCTCTTCTCTAAAGATGTAAAATATGAACCTTACTAGACTTGTTCTTCCTTCTGGCCTTTTTCCTACTTTTCTTTTCTATTTTATGTTTAGAGTAAGGTAGATTGAAGTCTTACCGATGTCATTTTGGAGAGTCCCTCTCGCAAAATTACTATAATATTCATCAGTTCTTTTGGCAAGATCAAGGGACCCAAACACATCATTTTTGGGTGTGAAATGAGGCAGAATGTTCTTATTTGCTTTAGTTTTATTCTTATTCTCGGTCTTAGGCTTTCTCATGCATACCCCCATTACGCTGTTTTGGATTTCCATGTTGATCTTCCGATCAGTGTTCTCCCGAGGGATTATTTTTCTACCAATAGCGAAGCTTTGGAGGACCCTCTCATGCTTGACTCTCTCTATATCATAGTTTCTGATGAAGTGCTTTAAGTAAGAATTTGATTTGATATCCTCGTCTTCACAGAAATTCTTCTGAGTTTTTATGAAATAGTCCTGAAGCTTTTTCTAATAATTTTAACAGCAGAATTTACCTTATGAATGCTGGTTTTAATGGATTCTAAGGATAAGATTTTCAAAACTTACTCATGAAGCTCTTGAATTCTTCATATCTTTGGTATTTGGTAAGAGCAGGAGAGTATCTGATTGGTAGAAAGGTAAAATTTCCTGACTCTCAGTCTAATGATCTCATCTCTTCTTTTATCTTCTCGAAAGAGGGCTTCAATATCTCTCTATATGGTTAGGTTAATTAATGGGATGGGAATACTTGATGGGTTTAGACTTTACGTCAGTCTCTTTTGCCTCATTGAACTTGACAACCTTTTTTCTTACGGTTGCACCCTTTTTAGCCAGTTTTAGTTTCTTCTCCATTATTTATAATTTTAACAAGTTTTTACATGAATCACGGGGTTTTGGGGTTTTGGGGTTTTGGGG